CTTGAGACCTCTAAGCCATGACCAAGAGACCCTAAGTTCTTGCCAACCAGGTTGCCCCTTTGGGGCAAAAATTTAAACTTAAAATTGCTTTGTGAAGGTCATGCAAACACTTTAAATTTGCTTTGTGAAGGTCACACAAACACCAAGAATATAGATACGGGATGAATGGCTGCTCACAGAGGCAAGTTTTGCTTATTTGCCTCTGCTCCCCACAGTCCCAACCTAGAATGGATGACATTTGGCCCATGGTATCTTTGGGACAGTTTGTTGTTGATCCTGCGAACAAGTAACTATTGCCCATATGGTTGGGTTGGAGTTTAATAGAAGATGAGAAGAAGTTCATGGTTTAGCAAAATTTCATCATTCGTGATGCTCCATTTCTTTGTTTTGTAACCATTCTTCCTATGTAATTAACTATAAGGGGGATTTTTTTCCTTTCTTTTGGTAAACTCCTAATGGGCGGTATATAATCTTTTTGTATTTAAATTTTCTTTATATATCTATGAAAAGCATTTCATTTTCATAAATTTTATTTCTCATATTGCTCTGCATTACACAAGATTATGATATCACCATAAACTTAATTTCTGGTGAACATATCTTTCCTATACATATAAGAAGCCGTATTTGAATTATGTAATGTTCGGATGTATAAAATGTCTTTACCAAGTTATTCAATGTGTATTGAGTTTGACTAGTTCAAATTGTTACTGTGGTGATCTTAACAAATATCTTTTTTAGCGTTTTATACCTTTTTATTGGTGAATCTTGATTTTTGTTCTTAACTCCATTTTTTATATTTATTGAAACATAGTACTTTGTGATAATAATTTCTTTTGTTGTCATATTCTATTCCTTTTCCAACAGAAATTTGCTCCCCTTAATGACATCTCTTCTAAAGTGAAGGATGCATGGTGTCCAAGAGCTCTCCATTTTCCAGGATTAAATTTTCTTGAAGTATCTAAGGATATTATATCATCCAATTATTCTGCTTGTTTGTTTCTCTTTGGTGGCGGGAAAACTGGGAACAGCTTAAGAAATGAGCGGAAATCTGACTGGAAAACTTCAAATAGAAATCCACTGAACAATCAAAGATGGACCAATATTCTTCTTGCTGTTAATATTTTGTGAGTTTTACTGTTAGCCCTTTTCTCTTACACAGATATAGTTACTCCATTATGTTATCTGATGTATATCTTTTATTTTATTCTTTTAGATCCTCCATATCTTATCTGTTATATGTGTGTGTGTTTGCCACAGAACTTACCTGGCACAAGTCGCCTCACAAGGAAAGTTACTCCTATGGGGAGCTAAGGTGATAGTTAGTACATATATTATATTTTGGGTTTAGAATTTTGAAATTGTGTTCATGGGATGTGATGTTTACTGCATGGTTGACTTATAATTTTCAGATAAATGGGCTAATTGATCAAGGACAACTATGGAGGCTGGTCACGTCTTCTTTTTTGCATGCAAATATTGGGCACTTGATGGTATCTGGTTCTATATTTTGCGGTACAGGTTATATTACTTTTGTCTATTTTAATGATTGGAAATCAACAGTTGCATGTTTTTATTGCAGGTTAACTGTTATTCTTTAAATTCTATTGGTCCTGCTGTGGAGAAAATCTCTGGTACTCGGAGATTTCTTGCAGTGTACTTTGCCTCAGCAATTGCAAGTACAGCTCGTAATCTCAATAAAATAGCCATGATATTATTAGATACCTTTTTGATTCCATCGTTTCAAGAAAATCAGGTTCATCAGTGAGTTATTGGTTCTGCAACGCACCTTCGGTTGGTGCATCTGGAGCAATCTTTGGATTGGTATGACTCGTCCTTTGCATTGCATCCTTCATTGGTGCTGATAATAGTAGATGCATGAGTTGATTGAGCGTTGTGTACATATTGCTAACGTGAGAGGAAAAAAAAGATATGCTTGTTTCGTTTAAGCTATTGTGATGAATGGTTGGCTTTTTTTGTTCCCAAGTATTCTAATTTTTAGTCTTCTGATTCAGGTTGGATCCTTTGCTGTGTTTGTTGTGAGACATAGGAAACTGGTTGGTAGGGGCAAAGAAGATCTTCGACACATCGCTCATATTATTCTTTTAAATATGGTATGTTTTCAATTCCCTTTTTTGTTATCAGAATTTCTTATGGTTTTCAAATTATCATATTATGGTAAGAAAAGAGAAAATAAATATCACGTGAGCATTCAGAATTATGATCAGTGTGCCTGGTTTAGTAGTTTGACTTCAACCTGGCAGATCGGTTGGTAATCTCTTACAAGCACAAGACCTAGAAATGCATCGATAATAACTTTGTGTGTATATTAGTTTGTGAATTGGCATTTAAATTTTTTTCTGTAATTAGGGGAATAATATCCATAATCATTTGGCTTGCAGGCTATTGGGATGATGTCCACAGGCATCGATAACTGGGGACACGTAAGTTTGAGAGTATACGATTTATTTATCTACTTATCCCTTCGAAGATTATTTATTTTCAGTTAGCAAGGCAATTACTCTATTATCATTTATGGGTAGATGAGAACTGTTTGTTTTTTTTTATTGGAAGATGTTTGGTTGCATAAATTCTGCTTGATACTGTGTGTCAGGATCCCAAATACTCGAAACGAAACAAGATAACTATATTGCAATATCAAAGAGAAATTACAATATCAATAGCTTTTCAAGCAGTGTTTTCGAGGCGCAAGGCGCACCGCAAGGCGACGAGTCCTTTGATCGCCTTGAGGCGAGAGGCGATACAAAGACGACGCCCGATTGAAGCGAGGCGCACCTTGATAAATAAGTAAAAATTATATATATAGTGCATAAATTACCTTAAAAAAATCAATACCAAAATAGTAAATGTCAACAAGATGCATAAAACAACCAAATTCTATAAGTTTAGTTCCAAATAAAGACRAGCAACATTAAGAAATTGTAGAGTCTGAAATAGAACAAAAAGTAAATATAAGTAATCAAAGCTCATCATCCTCATCTAAATCTAAATTCTCTTCATCTTGGACGTCCTCACAATCTTCCTTTTCCAATTCTTTTCTTCTTCTTCGGTGTCATCATCATCATCACTAACCACAACTTGCACTGATTTTCGAACTCTTGAAGTTGTAAGAATGGGAGTAGCAGGCGACTTTCCTTTAGATCTTGCATATGTTCTAGTTTGCCTTATGGGTTCTCTAACACCACTGGCCTCGGCTACATCTCCCCATGTGAGGTCGTCATCATCAAAGA